AAAATTTCAGAAAAGGCAGAAACCCTAAACCCCGAAATTTTCGTGAACCAAAAACAACCAATTTTTCCACCATTTAATTCTTGAAAAAGCTGAATAAAGCTGTTTACAGCCTGCAAATCAGATCACATGCCAAAAAAAACAAAAAAAATGATCAAAAAATGACAAATTTGAAAGAATCCGTGAAGAACACTGTGCAACCCGTGTTCTTCACGGACTCGCCGATTCCGCACAGTGAATCGGCGAGTCAATGTGCAGAATCGTCTGGTTCTCTCTAGAACCGGACGATTCCCGATTTTTGAAACGATCCGGTCCATTTTCGTGAAATCCGAGTCGAACCGGGCGAGTCCGGTTTGACTCGGCGATTTTTTAAACGCTGGTTTGGGCCAAAGGTAAATGAGATCTCTAGACTTATAACACTAATCGGAGTCTTCCATTGGGCTAACCCAAATGACATTCTACCGGTGTCTCAAGCTGACCCAATGGACCTATGCTCCACAGTCTATGACATGAACACATAATTGACCACATCAAAGTCGCTGAGCCAGAGCTCCCCGTTACAAGGGGTTCAATGGATTACTGGTGCACCCCTGTTGGACATTTTCCTACTTAAATACAAGGGTCCTCTCAAAGCACATGTGCACTTGCTCTTCTAAGTTGCATAATACTATAGAAGAGTGGCTTCCCCATATGACTATGGGTGCACATGCTATGGAACGGTCTCGTGTCAAGATAGGGCTCATGTCCCATGAGCCGACCATTCCATACATGGTAAATACTCTTTTAAATACTCGAGGTTCTATTATTCTAGATTGGATTCTCCAAGCTCTGTCTTATCACATCAACTATGAGGCATTCTAATCAATATAGTCCTGATAGAGAGGTGACCCTCACACCTCCCCGAGAGTTCACATACTTAAAATGTATATTCTTAATGCCTCAATAGACGGGGTGTATGAATCTGAGCCCCAGTGCGCCAAGCACCCAGATTCAGTCTCTCTCTAACTCCCACTGAGCGTAAGACTCTTGGTTTTAAGGCCTTGAAAGGCCACATAGCCAACAATACGACCCTCGAAATCTCGTAAACCCTTTTCCCTTTCTCTTTATATTTATCTCTTTCATCTCTCTAATTCTTTTTATGTTTATCTCTTCTTTCTTTCTAATTCATTTTACGTTTATCTCTTCTTTCTTTCTAATTCATTTTACGCTTATCTCTTCTTTCTCTCTAATTCTTTTTAATATTTATCTCTTCTTTATCTCTTTAATTCTTTTTAATATTTATCTCTTCTTTCTCTCTCTAATTTTTTTATCTCTTATTTCTCTCTCTACTTACTTCTTCAACTCAATAAATATGATTCCAATGCGATACAAATCTGACTCCGTCTAATTTTCATAGGAGATGGGGTTGAAGGGAGCTTTTATAGGGGAGGGTAAGGTGCTCACAGGTTGTTATACAAATCTTCTTTGACAGAGAGAGAGTTAGAGAGAGAAAGAAGAGATAAAAAGGTATTAGAGAGAGAAAGAAGAGATAAATATTAAAAAAAATTAGAGAGAGAAAGAAGAGATAAACATAAAAAGAATTAGAGATGAAAGAGATAAATATAAACGGAAGGAAAAAAGGGTTTACGGTAATTAAAATGTCGTATAACATGAGTTAGTTTTTACGGTACTTAAAGTACTGTAATTGTGCTTCACGATAATACGACTACTGTAAAGGTTATTTTGGTCAAAAAACACCCAAAATTGAACAAAAAGGGTGTGGGAGAGATTTATGAAAGTCGAGGGTAAATTCAAGTAAATTCAGAGATTTACAGAAAGGTTATTTCTAAATAGACAAAAATTCAGGTAAATTTATGATAATTTCCCTAAAATTTATTATAGAATGATTTAATTTATTACATTTTTAATAGAATTTAGAATTTTAAAAATTCATTAATTATGTTTAATACCATATGGATTGTGCTCTTGACCTAGGGAAATAGAATGATATAATTTATTACATTTTTAATAGAATTTTGAATTTTAAAAATTCATTAATTATTTCTAATACTATATGGATTGTGCTCTTTAGCTAGGGAACCTAATTAAGTGCGCTTGAGGACCTTCAGTTCCAATCAGATGGAGCTCAGACAAGTAGAACTCATCATTGAATCTCTAGAAATTGGGATCGAGCTCTCCAACATAATGGGATCTCGATCCCTAAATTTTGGGGTGTGCGGATAGCAATCCTAAACCTAGGGACGTATGAACCTTTCACAATCCCTAGCTATCGATTATCCAAGTCCGCTAACTATCATTTATACTTCTTTCTTGGTTCCATTTCAAGTCAGCTTAGAACTTCATTTTCCTGGACTCTCTTTTGTTGCGTAAGTTAGTAGGTCTCTCTCTCTCTCTCTCTCTCTCTCTCTCTCTCTCTCTCTACTCACTACTACTACTAC